AAGATTTTTAGAAATTTTTGAAAATGGTTAAACTTTGGGCTTGTTTCAGGGATGGAAAGAATCTGATTTCTGTAGTTTTTCAGGAAAGATCTTTGAAAATTATTTTCCAGTCAAAGAAAATACTGCATGGGACTTTACAAAAATGTATTTTAGATTTCCTTAAGGCTTTCTGTGCTTGGTTGTCATCCCAGTTATATTTTGCAGTGTGATTGTAGTAGAATTTGAACCAGGCTAAGTCCTGATATACGACCCATTGAAGTCAGTACAAATCACCCCACTAACTTTGGTGAACTTTGTTTCGGCATCTAAATAACTTATTTCACTAGCTCAAAGTTGCATGCTCTGATTTTGGCCACAGGCTGTAACCTGAAGATACTATTTTTTGCATTCATTGTGCTGTGGTGATACGTGAATTTTAATGGGCAGCCAAACCCCAATGTGCTAGACAGTGCTGTGCAATTGTGGAACGTGATGGCAATTTTTGCTCAACAAAATAGATTAAAACCAGTATAAAAATGAACACGAGTGTTGCACACAGAGGTATAGAGCGCAGCAGAACTTTTAAAGGGAATTTTTTCTCGTGTGAGTTACACCTCTAGGATAATGTGAGGGAAAATGAGCGTGTGAAGTGATGGTACAGAATTGTTCCTAATAGCTCAGTAATGATCAAATTCCTTAGCGAGCATATTACACATATGCACAGAGACAACAAACACAGGCAAGTACATAAAAATATGGTTTAGATCTTCTGAATTTGGCTGGTATGTTAGAATTTATAATTTGAAGATGCTGTTTGTATAAAAGCTTGAGGAGTGATAGATTGGGTAAAACTGTAATGATAATACCTAGATTTTAAGGTTTATAGCTAAGAAATTGCCCGTTTTGCACCTTACATAAATATATTAAATGTATTTCTGTGCTTGATTAAAAAGCCTGGTATTTCAGGAAAATTTATTCCAATCATCAAAACAGCTGAAGTTTTAATGGCATTAGAACAATGAGTATTTTTGTTATATCTCAAGAACTAGAAATGTATGCAATCACTATTGTTTTGTAAGAGGCTTACTATAAAACTTCTAAGAATAATTTTATAGAGAAAAAAGAATTATTAAGCAGTATTTCTGAAGTACTGACATATGAAACTCTCTGCATGGAACAGGTTGGACGACAGTATTTACGGAAAACTTTGGCGGACTTTTGTGGTGAAATCCCTGAAGAAAACCTGGTACAGTATGTTAAGAAACTTTGAAAGTGACTAAATTAAGTTCTATTAATAGGTAGATTTTGTTGGATGTAAAATGGTAATTCAGTAATTATATTTCTTGAGAATATGCATCAGCTATCTAGAATTACTTAGGTTGGCACCCCTCCATGGTTTTATACACAGTTAAATTAGGGCATAGATAGTCTCAACTGTGCCTGTCAAGAGGTAACTTTGCTTCTCACGGTTTCTGAAGGGTTGCATATCTAATTCATCAGTCATATTAAAGCCAGTTCTTGTGGCAATATTAAATCTCACCTATGTATCTGAATTCAGTGCTGTGGGGTTTTTTTGACTCATGTCGTCGCCAGTAGTGCAGCGTCTGCAACTGGAATTTAGCCAATAACTATTGATGACAGAAGGTCCAGAATAGAACCCGTCTTACTTTCCCAACCAGTATTAACTCCTGCACCACTGTCAATTAGTCCAGTTCTGTACTTGGAACTACACAAATGCATCTGTTAATGACGTGTACTCAGAATCCAGCTAATTTTCATCTATAATGGCTCTGGCTGCATAGAAAAAAGCAAGATTTTTTTTTTCCCCCTTATAATCTGATCAAACTTGGTTTTCCATATGCACAAAAAAAGTGACGAAAGAAATTGTCGGGTTTTTTTTTCTGGCAGCAATAACTTTTATGACACACCTGGTCTAGATGTTTCCTGACAATATCATGGAGTGAGTTCTGAAGGAAGCAAACAGTCAGAACACCAATTTACAGATCTTTGACCAAATTTGTACATCAGCTTATTAAGTTGATTTTAGTACTGCTTATCTATTAGTAATACCTGTAAACATAATTTTATTTCCCTGATGTAAAAATACAGGCATAAAAAAACTTGTAGAGGGGGGCATATATATATATATAGTAAACATGTACAGGATGCTGCAAAAGGACCAAGAGAGGCCAAGTAGAGAAACAGGGCAGGAGTATGGCAAGAAAAGTGATTTATCACACAGTGCTAGCGGGCTGCTTGCAACAGCAACGTGCCAAGATGCCGGTCAGATTTGCAGTTGTGTGGCTTTGTGCCTTGCCCTGCTTTTGTTTTCGTGACATTTATGTGCTAAAAAGTACCTTTACGGAGACTAACTTTCATCTCAGTTGCATAAAGCTTTGTGTAAATGCATGTGGAACAAGGCTTTCCAGGATGCTGTGAGCTTTTTCATAACCCGGCCCTTTTGCTTGCTTTTCTCCCTGTAGGAGAAGGTGGAGGGGCTTGGGAGCAGCCATAGGTGCTGGTCCTGAAGAAAAAGGCATGGGCCCCTTTTCTTCTTCAGCATCTCTGGAGGGAGAAGGTAATTTGCATCCTGGTTTTGGAAAAGGGAGGCCTCGTGTGGTCAGCCGTGAGAACAGCTGCCCACAGCAGGGTGCCTGCACTCCCTCCTTCCCCTGAACTGGTGTGAGAGGCAAGCCAGGATGGTAAACATGGCCATACTGGTGGTATTTCATAGCAATACTGATGGCGGGGTTAAAGGAAGAAGAAACACCCCAGTATGAATGCAGCGGCTTTGTCATTGAAAAGGTCTGAAGTAGGGAATAGTGTTCTCCATGGTCCTTCTTCCCATATTGCATTAGAAAGAAGACAGATACCTTTCCTTGCCTTTCTAGGCGGCTGAAACAGGTAACTCAGAAGTCCATGTTTGATATTAACTAGCTGAAAAAGAGAATTGAAATGGAGCAGTGGTCGGTCTGGTAACTGACAAAATGTCAACGTTTTGATTCAAAGGCAAAATTAAGAAAAAAACCCCCAAACCTGAAACAGTGTCTGGTGCGTGTAAATTTTTTTAAAAAACAATGTCTGAGGTATCCAGTGCTCAGTTCTTTGCCTCCAGATAGATCTGGCTGTGAGGAGCTGTACAGCAACCCCGGTAGAGACCGTTGAGAAGGCCAGGGGAGATTTAGATGGGATATTAGGAAAAATTTCTTCACAGAAAGGGTTGTCGAGCATTGAAAGAGGCTGCCCAGGGAAGTGGTTGAGTCCCCGTCCCCAGAGGTATTTAAAAGACCGGTAGCCGAGGTGCTTAGGGACATGGTTTAGTGGTGGGATGGCAGGGTTAGGTTAACGGTTGGACTTGATGATCTTAAAGGTCTTTTCCAACCTAAATGATTCTATGATTCTATGAATACTCGTGTTAAAGGTTAAAGCCCTAGTGCGTGAGAGGGTGTTCCAGCACTCTCACTTTAGCCACAGATTTTGGAGAGAAACAAGTCCTGTCGTAACATATTTATCTCATCCATTGACTGCATCCTTATTATTAATTCTAAGTGCATTCTCTACTTTTCAAAGAACTACAATTAAATGAAATTCCCCCAAATGTAGGATTTACCATCAGTACACACTGACTACTATCAGCTGTGATTTGGGAGAAGCCTCTCATCCGCGCCTGCCCTTCTGAAGACATCAGTTCTGTTTGACTCTAGCTGGGAATAGGCTCTGGGGAAGGGATGGGGCTGCCCTCGTGCCACTCACGTGAACAGTGCGGGGCTGTTTCTTCCCTTTTGATTGGTAAGATTTGTCCATTAGCTTGTCCCTTTCAGTGACTTAAATCCATTCCCTTGCTTAACTTTAGTCAAAATTTCCTGTAAAATCAAATGTACTTGTTATTGGGATGTAGCTCTCAACACACTTGGCTCAGGTCTTTGGGATACTAATGGTGGGATTCACCTGGTATACAGAAATTGTGGGTGGGAGTGGGTTATTGGGTTCACTTGAAGTAGTTGCCTTTATTGTGGATTGAGCAGCCGGGATGAAGAGAACAATCTTCTGGACTCTGCAATGGTTTTTAGTTTGTTCATCTCCCTGAAGCAGCAGATAGTGCCTAATGAATAAGGCGCATATTATCAGCAATTGCATCTTCTAAAAATCTCCAGTGTGAGAGACAAAGGACGCATTTTCTGATGCTGGAAGCTAGTGTTGGGTATCAGATGCTTTTTGGGACCCTACTTCACATGGGAAAAAAACCCTGCAAATTTTTTTCTAATTTTGTCTAGAAAAAAAAAATAATTGAGAAGCCTTGTCTCTCGAGATTGAAAAAACACATCTGGAGGCAAAAGAAGTGTGTATTACTCTAGAGCTTTATTTCTTCTTGCTATAAATTAAGTGCATTTCGCAACAGAGTGTTTATACCCATACGGTCCAATTCAGGATGTCTGAATGTTCTGGTAATATTTATCGGGTTTTTTTCCCCAAGAGCGTGATGCCAATGTCCCTGAAATTCACGGTGGAAGTGCATGTTTAAGAGGCAAAAAAAAAAAAAAAAAAAAAAAAAAAATAAAAAAAAAAGCGGAAAACCCCCACGGGCA